CGGCCGAGCGGAACGGGGAGCGGGATCCCCTGTGAGGGGGCGCTGGGTTCCGGACGTCCATGGGGGGCTGGGGCGGGGATCCCGCGGCTGCTGTGGGCCCTGGGGAGAGGGGAGGCGGCGGTCCCGACACAGCGAGCTCTGCGGGTCCTTGGGAGCCCGGGGCGGGCTGCCGGGAGAGACAGGGGGAGGTGCTGGGGTGACCCGGGCGGCAGGAGCCAGGCGGCAGCAGGGTGGATCCCTGGGCTGGTGTCACCAGCAGGGCCGCGGGAGCGCGAGGCTCTGCGGCGGTCGCTAGCCACGCCTGCCCATGTATGCTCTTGAGTTCTGTTTTGTTCTTTACTGAAAATTAATATTGTGGAGCGAGATAAGAGATAACTATTAAAAGTGGAGTTTATGGGCAAAATAAAAGTCTCTGCAGCAGGGAGACCTGTAAGTATGGAGTTCGTCTGGGTTTGTGAGTAATCCATCCCCAGTGGATTTCTTTTCTTGTTATCCGGCGTTCCCTTGGCCATTTATGTCTGCCCGTGCTGATTATATTTCATGGACACGTGTCCATGAAATGGAGAAGCTGTGAGAAGTGTAGAACATGTGCTTTTAAGAATAACAACTATGTTGTGAGGAGAGAGCGAAACCCTGCTAACTTCTTCCATTTTTAAATCAAGACTGAATCTGTTTTGGAACACTTGCTTTAGTTAAGTGCTAAATTATAACAGGACTGATGATGTGGGAATGGTTATTACTAGGAGAACATGGTAGGAATTTCTTAAAATCTTTGTCTGTTATGTATGTAATGCCCTTATGCTGCAGTGAGTTCAGCATAGGTCAGGCTTTAGATGTAGAAAATGTAAGTGAGAGTTTTTAATTTAGTGGAGCCCTCATCTGCAGCTGGAAACAAAAACAAGCTGTTTGTTTGTAAATCATCAAATAAGGAGCCTGAACACAGTATGTATTTCTAGTAGAGATGTATCTACTTTAACAGTATCACTGTTCTTCCCATAACAGAATTTTTTCCTTGGGGAGCTCTTGAAGAAATCCTTGGTGAAATAATGGATGGTAAGGAGGAAAGTACTCTCTTACTTTCAGTAGCAAATTGTCTTCTGAACAATATGTTAGTTAATAAGTTCAAGCAGAAAGCTTCATAAATGTTTTAGCAAAGGAAATTATGTTGCGCTGAAATTATGTTCACTTGTGGAGGCCTTTGAGTTTGCCCCTTGCCTTCATTGTTGTCACCTTTCTGTGAGGCTGCTCTGTCCCTTCACAGGTTTTGTTTCCTTCAGCAGCAAATGCTGAGTAAATCTGTGTTGTTCTGAATTTGAGTTCTGCTCTGTCTGTCCCATTCCTTTCTCAATCAACTTGATTTTTCTTTTTGCTATTATTTGTCCCTTTGATGCATGTTTCTTTGCGTTCTGCTCTCTTCTTTCAGCAAAGCATATCTGAGGATATGCTTTCTTGCCTACCTTGCATCTTTCTCTTCAGCTTCTGTTGGCAAAAATCACATGGGTGTGTCTGTAGAGCTCCTGGATACACCTTTACAAGTCCCAAGGCTTTTCTTTGTAACAGCAGCTATTGTACAAGCAGCTGCATAGGAGGAAAAGCCAGCACTAAGTATTCTGCAAATTTTCTGCTGACCAGCCAGCCTGGATCATAAACTGAGAGTGTCTGCAACCATGTTTCCATCCGACCAGATGGCGGAAAGCTGCTTTATCTTTCTTTAGCCAAAGTTCAAGTAGTGTTTGAAGAATGCCGCTTGCTCTTATGATTTACTTTTGGTTGTCATTACCTTGTGCTTAGGTTATCATGGATATTTTATTCCATGGCAACTTTCCTCTAACTGAAAAGAAATAACACTGAGTTTAATTTTTGCCTTAGCTGATGATGACTTGGATCTGTTGGCCTCCCTCCTGGAAGAAAGTGAGGCAACTGAGGAGGGGAATTCTCCTGAGGAAGAAGATGCTCCAGAGGATGAGGGGGGAGAACCAGATGAATATGATGAGCTCTTTGATGCAGAAGATGATGTGTCCTACACTGAGGAGGTCGATGCTGAGGACGATGTGATTGATGAACAGAAGGAGAACCTGGCTACACTGTTTGGAGATGTAGATGACCTCCTGGAAGAAGAGGCAGCAGAAAAGAACGTCCCCACTTCAGCTTCCAGTCAGGCAAAAGAGAAGACCAACCAAGAACTGCAAGGTTTCTGTAACAGCATATTTTATCAGTTTTATCATATATATCTTGTATTTAGAGAGCTAATGTGCAGAAGGTAGGTCCCGCTGCTTCTCAGGTTAGAATGGTGCCCAGATGGGGAAATGCAGAAAGTCCTTGTGAAGGTTTCTAAGTCCAGTTTTTAATGCTCAATGGCAAAATTCACCAAACCTGTTTTCCCAAAAGAAAGACAAAGAACTGAAGTAAGCCAGGGAAACTAAACTAGGTCTGCTGCACAGGATAAAGAAGGTTGCTTATGTACCTGCGCCTTGTCTGATGAAGAGCAATGTTGATTCAATCTTCAGGGCTGTTACTCTGGCATCTTTCACCAGCACAGCTCTCCCTTACCCCTCAAGACTTATTGGCAGGAGGTTCTGCCATGCCAGCGAGTGTGAAAACAGAGCTGGCCACTGAGCCTTCCTCTGTCCAGGCTGCATATTTTATTATTATATTAGAAGCATTTCTTTACAGTAAAGAGCGCATCATCAGCTGTTTAAATTGCCTTATGTTCAAAAGGAAAGATACATGACCATGGTACGTTCCTTGCCATGTTGTACATTGAATATTTATATGAGAGAAATCAGCTTCAGGTTGTATGGAAAAGCATCCTCTCACTGTGAGCTATGTAGAATCAATTAAATCTGTACTCTGTCTCTAGTCTTTGTTTTATAAGTTCCTATGATGTAGTAAAACTTCCAGGCTTCCCAGGATCATAAATCCACGTTTGCAATGGCTTCTCACTGTCTTCATTATTATCCTTTTTCTTCTTTCTTCCCTAGCTGAGCTGAGGAAATTGCAAGAGCAAATGAAGATGTTACAGGAGCAGTTGCAGAAGACTGCTATTGGGCAGCAATCCAGTTCAGGCCCTAAGAAGGAAACCCCTGGTAATGAGAGTAATTAAATGGGTTTATGATTTGTTGGCCTACCAACATGCAATTTATAGGCCAGACTCCAGATAGTCCTAAAGTGGGCGCTGAGTAGCAAAGAGTAATGGTGGTCTGGTTTATTCCCACACAGGTTGTTTCCTGCAGCTACAGACTAAATCAGTGAGCTGCAGTTTTGGTATCTGTGTCATAGGTTGATTCTAGATGGGGCAGCTTTCATGACTGAAGTGCTCCAGGGTCTTCTGGAAGTGTCCTTTCTTACTGGCAGATGTTGGTACACTCAAAATACAGCTATGTTGTTGCCATAACACATTGGGTGTAGTAATGAAACTACATGGGAAAATTGGAAAGCAAGGGGATGTTCCTACTTTCCACAGCTTTGTGGTTTCAGTGACATCCAGAATTTTAGGTCATCATGGGGAAGAGTCATTGGGGCTTTTTCAGCTGTTGCATTTCAGATGCTGGCAACTTAGCTGAAGGGTTTTCATGTATGACACTGACTTGGTCTTGTTATTCAGAGAATTACTTAGTTTGGAGCAATTCTTAGAGTTTGAGTCCAGATCCTGAGATCTCGTATTTTTTTTGTTTCCTTGGCCAGGTAAATCTCCCTGTTCACCCTTAAAGGAAAGGAAAGTTCAGAAGCTGCAAGAGTCACCATGTTTCTCAGCCCAACTGTGCAGTCCTTTACCGCCAGCCAAGCGAGGAATCCAGAAATCAAAGGCAGCCTCAGCAGGTACCATTCTCAGTCTGCCTTTCACTGAAACACCCTGGGCTTCTGTTGAAAGCTTATCTGGTTCACAGCAGCAGTGTGGACAGATTCAGGATAGTTTTACGCTAGTCAGTGCACCAGTAACAGTCTGGTAACAGCAGAGCTTACTACAGAGTTAATTATTGTATTCTTTGCAATGGGTGCTGTGCTCTGTACTGCTATGGTTAACTTGGACACTGCCAGCAGTCTTTTTTACATCTATGTATCCTACCCTTTAGCTTGCCTGGAAAATGAGAGCTCTTCTGGGAAGCTCCTCACCAGGCAGAACTCATTGCTCGAATTACGTGTGATTTATCTGGAGCTGTCAGTTCCCAGCTGACTGGGAGACCAGTTCAATACAAATAAGACAGTTTTACACCTTTTTCTTAAGTGTCTTATATTAGACTGCTGTCTCTGGTCAGTGTAAGTTAGTGTTATTTTTATTTTCTGTTTTCTATTTTCTTTCATCATCAAGACTTTTTTCCTTGCCGTTTTCTTTTTTCCTGCTAAAGAGAGCAAGACTCCTCTTCCACAGCAAGTCCTCAGTCTGGCATTCCAGCCTCTCAAGTCTGCCACAGGGAACACACCCAGTAAGGTGATCAGAGAGAAGACTCTTCACACGCCTGCATGCTCCAGTGCAACAACTCAGCCAGTGTCTGTGGAAACCTTCTCGGGACTGAGATTAAGGTCAGCAGCCCAGCACTGAGATCTGTCTGGGGACATCACCCTCCAGTCATGGGAGAGAAAAAGCAGTCGGTCCAATGTTCTGTGGTGCTAGTGACACAAGTGGTGTATGGAGGACTGGATTTGTGATTTGATGTATATACATCATTTAACCATGTCAGGTTAATCAATTGTCATTAGGGGTTATAACACAAAGCCACAGCATTGGCTGATTGATCAGTAAATAGATAACATTGACTTTTGGCTGAGTACCACACTTCTAATTCTATTTTTACCTTTCCTCTTTTCTAACAAAAAAAGCTATCATTTTATTAGCGCTACCTTCCCTGGGGTGTCCTCAGTGGTGGAAGAGGGAAGCAGTGGGCATGTGCAAAGCCCAACTGTGCTCCAGTTGAGCAGATTTTGCTCAGCACTGAGGAGCCTTGGGAGCCTCCCGTGATACCCATACTCCATGTGGCCACAAGAGGTCTCTGAATACTCACGGTGTCTTTCCTCACCAGAAACCGGGCTGGATTTCCAAACCATGCTCAGACAGTCCTACCCAGTCATTCCTGGAATGAGCAGAGTTAATGCAGACTCGGGGCTAAGTTGCATTGCAGCTATTTGGACAAAACCCAGCGTGATCAGTAGCTTTCTGATATTTGTATGGTGTCCTGAATCGAGTGGGTTTGTTTCAAGTGACCTCAGGGTGAAATAAGTCACAGAGAAGTTTTGCAGCGAGATGTAGTCTCCCCAGGAGAATGCTGGATGGATTTGATTGTCTGTCTGCTTATGCCAGTGGATGTGTTCTCTTTTGCATGCCTTTGCTTGATCTAGAAAACCCCGGGTGTCTTCAGCTGAAATGGACAGGAAAATGGCTAACCGGAAGCTCATCCGACTGTCCCAGCTGAAGAGCAAACTTGCTGCAGAAAATCTGGAGGAAATAGACTGGGTAACATTTGGAGTCATACTGAAGAAGGTCACTCCTCAGAGCACGAATAATGTAAGTAACTGTTCTGTCTCTTGCCTCGTTCGAGTGAAATGCTGGTCTTCGTTCCTGAGAAACTAATTAGGTCTTCAACTTAATCTGTCAACTCCATGGAGTTAATGAAAAGCTACTGTATTAAAGATCTTGGCTCATCTGGTTTCATGCAGTAATGCCATTTTTTGTCCTCAGGGTAAGTCCTTAGTTTAGCTGGTGCAACTGTCCCAGACAGTAGCATTATTGGCTAATGTAACCGTAGCATAAATCTGTCTTAAATCTGTTCATCCACTGTTATATGTTAAATGCCAGTGTGAAAAAAAGGATTATGACTATTTCTAGACAGCCCTTGTGTTTTAAATGTGCCAACACATTCTGCTTCCATCATTTCCCTAGAGGCCATTCTGTCCTAGATGGTGTCCATGTCCTGTAGAAAGCCTGATGAAACAGAGGTCTGGCTATGCCTTGGTTTTATTTGTTCAGTGGGGTAAAAAATCATCTTTGTTCAACAAGCAAAAGTGCTGTCCAGCTTTAATATCGGGATGATTGGTGGAAGCAGTATGATTGTGCTATTTTAGCCTTTAAGAATCCCAGAACTGGCTGTGTGGCGTGGCTGGAGATCCTGTGTCTAACCTCTGCTGAGGTTACAAATTGTGCTTTTCTGAATAGGGAAAACCCAGAGTGGGGGAAATCATAATACCTGTTAAAAGCAACAGTAAGAGGGGGTGCAAGTCAGTGTCCCTGTACGGAGAGCTGAAAGGAAAGCGAATGTCTCTTTCAGGGCAGAACCTTCAGCATCTGGCGGCTGAACGACCTACGGGATCTCAATCAGTGTGTCTCACTCTTCTTGTTTGGTGATGTCCACAAAGAGCACTGGAAGACAGACCAAGGCACAGTCATTGGGCTGCTCAATGCTAATCCTATGAAACCTAAGGAAGGCTCAGACGAGGTGAGAGGATTTTTGACTTGTCATTATCTGTAGATAAAAACCCATAGCTGAACTTTCTCATATCTGCTTGAGATTTAGCTTTATAACACGTTAAGGCTAAAATTACAGCAGTCTGCCTGGACAGTTTGAATTGCATTTAGATATGTGCGTGGTGTATGCTTGCTCCTGTCATTTTGGAAGACTGAACTTCAAGAAGTCCTATTAAGCATCTAAAACCAGAGTTTATTCGAGTGTTTAATCTACTCTCAATAGCAGCCGGCTCTTCCACAGATGTAGGGAATTCATTTTCATGTCAGTTTATTTGGCTACTTCAGTGCAATGCTTATTTCAGCCTAGAGGTCTCTCAAAGCTGAAAGAGATGGGGAAGCTCATTTCTTTCTTCGAATTTAAGCATGAGATACAATTGCCAAATGTTTCCTCGTTCCAAAATCATGTCTGAGAAAAAGCAATATTGGGTATATTAAATGAATGATGTATTATGTATAGTAAGTTGATACATAGTAGTTCACTTGTTTGATCAATTTACTTTTAAATGCAGAACACGATGAACTACTTTTCTGTATGTATCAAAACACTTAAGGTGATCATTTTGCTAAGAAATTAATATTTTTAATATGTCTTTAATTGCACTGGAATGGAAACAGTTCTTGCTGACTTCTGTCAAGAGAAATTTCAATCTAGAAGCTGGTGATGTAGTGTTTTGCATATTAAATTCTCCAAATGGAAAAATTAAGAATCTCATTAATTGTCTATTAAGCTATATAATTGCTTAAATTAACATGAATAAGCAGTAGGAAGTCCTGTTGGTGAGTAGAAAGGCATACCAGAATTAATGTAAGGACTGTAACTGTTAAACGGCTGTTCTTAGCTAAAATGTACACATTTAGAACTACATTGAAACTGGCTTCTCAGAGTGTTTCTTACCTACAGACACAATTTCTAGTATCTTTGGTTGTGTAAAGTAGACAACCTTCTTGTACAGGAGTCTGTTTTGGTAGGACCTAGACATGTGGAGAGGGACAAAGAGCTCTTCTACATCTCCTCTTCCCATCCACTGCCGAATGTGGTTGCCATGATGGTGTCGGAGCCAAGTGGTTGTACAGCACCATCATTTATAGCACAACTGGATCTGCCTTTGGTGGTCCTTGGTTTCCTGAGGCTCTAAGCATAAAAATACAATGTCTTTCATTCATGAGAAAGAAATACACTTTTTTCTTTTTAGCTGCAGCTTTTCTCAATCTGAACATAACGTGGCTCTCCTAAACTAGGCCTGCATTTTAAAACTGCACTGTTAATACCAGAGTTAGCAAACTGGACTAGAGCCAAACCAGTGACATCTAGAGAGGAGCCCATCCAACACTCCTCAGGGCATGTTCTGATTTCTTTCTAGGTGTGTTTGTCTGTTGATCATCCCCAGAAGATCCTCCTCATGGGTGAAGCTCTGGACATGGGCACTTGCAAAGCCAGGAAGAAGAATGGTGATCCTTGTGCACAGATTGTGAACCTGGTCTGTATCTCAGTAGTTAGGACATAGCTAAGCTGTTGGTAAAAATCTGGCTGCTGATTTTGTACTGATGCTCTGACTCTTGGACTTGTTTCTGGATCTGGACTTTAAAACTAGCTAAAGTGGATGGAGAAACTGGAAAATCAAAGCCAGAGTAGCTGCTGCTGTGATGCCACCGTAGTAGCAGCATATAGTAGTTCCCTAAATACAAAGCTAGTGTTGTGGCTAAAAGAGATGGTCTTGATCCATGACTGCCACCTTCTCCATACACTTTTGCTCCTTTGCCACTGCAGGCTTCCCTGCACTGTACTAGAGAATTCATCCAGGGTAAAATAATAGGTTTTCCTTGGGAATGGTTGTGTTTTTCAGAGATTGTTTTAACCCAATAAGTCCCCTGGTCCAGTGGGCCCTACAAGCTGCCAAAATATTTATACCTGAATGTGGGGCACTGGAGATGAGAGGAAAAAGGTGTCGGGATTTTTTTAAGGACAGTACTGACTTGTACTAGTTTAAAATGACTTGTGGACTATATCACCTCATGGCTATGGTGATGTTATGATACCTGAAAGGAACCCTGTCTAATTCAGAAGGATTATAGTTAGTAGGTTAGAAGGGGGAGAGAAAACGAAGGGATGAAGAATTGGGGAGGAGCTTAAAGTGTGTGGAGTGGGAGGAATATAAATACAGAAGGTACTTGTAGCAAAACAAGGCTGTGATTACAGACTCACTCCAGGAGGTGGCTGTGCACAAGCCTCTCAATGTTGGTGAAGTGTTCCAATACCACCTGCAACAAACTGTAGATGGAGGCTGGCTGTCAGAAGCAGCTCATGAAGGAATTGGCTGTCAGTTTAATTAGTGAGAAAGAATGTTTGGTTGTGGGGTAACTGTAGTTATACAGATCTGGGGCAGATGAATATCAACAAGAATGGGGGAGGGGGGTTGATAAAAAGTTAACACCCTGAGTTAGGTTGTTTATGGCACTGCTGTCTTTGACTGGCAAACTCACTATCTTCAGTTCTAAACTCTCTCGGATTGACACTGAAGACTGATTAATTAAGTTGAAATGAGTGCATGAAATACCTTGCTCCTGTGTTAGTTTTTCTGTGTTAATACCAGTAAGAAAACTGCATACAGTTCAGAGTCAAGAGTACAGAATCTGCCAAGAGGACCTGGGACATGAGTTAACTTGAGCCAAAAAATAGCCTTAAAAAAAAAAAATGCACACGTTTTTTTTCCAGTGATCAGTATGGGCAATTTTAGTTTTGTTTTTCATTGCTGGAGTGTGGGCATGTGTTTGCTGGGTTGGCCAAATGCTGGAGTACGACAGTGGAGTTGTTGTTACAGTTTAGCCATAGAAGGATGCATGTGAGTGAGAGGAAAGAAGTAAATTGTAATTGCTAGTGTTCTGCAACAGGCTTTTCCCATTTCTTTTCAGAACGACTGTGAATATTGTCAGTATCACATACAATCCCAGTACAAGAAGCTCAGCTCGAAGCGGGCAGATCTGCAATCCACCTTCTCTGGCGGCCGCATTCCCAAAAAAGTTGGTCGGAAAAATCCTAGTTTGAAGGAGAGACTGTGTCAGGATGGGTTTTACTACGGAGGTGTCTCTTCAGCAGCATATGCAGCCTCAGTGTAAGATAAACCACTTATTTCCCTTGCTTTTGCATGGAATTTCCCTCCATCTACAAGTGAGCCTGAAGCTATCTTCAAGGGGTTCTATTTAGTTAGAGATTCCTTTGACTTAACTATTCACAAAATAGGAATAAATGCCCCATGTGTGGTGTAATCCTGGCCCTATGGGATGACAGAGATGCTATTTGATAGGAAAATTTTAACAGTCAGCTCTAAGATGTGGTAAAAGGTATGTTTATCTCTAAATTAATACTGCATTGTGAAGCCAGGCAACATTGTGTTTCAGTAGATGAAATGAACTTTTTCATGAGATCCCAAGCATTTGAGTCTCAGATTAATATTTTTCAGTGCCATTCCCTTCCCATATCTTGTTACGGCTCATTGCATTTAGTCCCAGACTCAGTATATCCTGTATTTCCCCCTCCTCTCTTCCTTGACTGAAGTAATACAGCACCACTGTGTGTTAATGAAGAGATGGTAGTACACTCTGCATATATTAAGTGACCAACATCAATAGGTCAGTATGCATCTCCTAACTAACATGGAGGGGCCAGGTCCTTCAACCAAATCCCCCTGAAGACAGCTGTGTAAAGACCAGAGTCACAGCTGGATCAAGCCCCGTGTTTGTACATGGTTTTCATTCCCTTACCAGTTATCAGAGGGTGGTGGTGTGACGCCACAGTGATGAAGCAATTCCAGCCTCCTCTCCATCCCTGGAACTAACTGTGAGCAAACTTAGCCAGTTCCTACGTTCAGTTTTCTCTCAATGCATAGGAAATATCTCAACCCAGGGAGAAATGGGAGATACTAAACATTTTGCTAGAATTTGGATTTAGATCCACATCCTTCCCAAGGACAGAGGGGCACACTTTAGGGTGGCTGAAGTCTTACTGAAGCACTGGGCTGGAGTTTGAGTCCTTGCTCTAAGCATGGGAAAACTCTGATGTTCTGGTTTTGTTTCCTCTTTCTAGGGCAGCAGCTGCAGTGCCGAAAAGGAAGATTCAAACCACTCTCTCCAATCTGGTTGTGAGAGGAGTTGATGCAATTGTCCAGGAAACCAGGCAGAAAATTGGTACCTAATTACCCATGTAGTCTCTTCACCCTCCAGATATTTCCAGGTTGATGTGTAGATGTGTCCCGGGACCCTGCTACTCACTGAATGAATCTGGCAATTGGTTTGCTACGGAGATAGCTGTTTGCAGGCTGCTTTCTCAATTGATCAAAACCCCTCTTCCCTCTTGAGATTGCAGCTTCAAGGCAAATGTAACTAAGCAACTGTGTAGATCCATGCATCTTTTTTTCATCGGTGCCCCTGAATTAAGTCTCCTGTTCTGTCTTTGGACAGTGACAAAAGATCTTTGCCAGATTAATGGGAATTGGAAGTTTTAAGAACTTTGAACCAGATAATTTATTTTATTTGATTAAAATAAATTACTTATGTCAATCTTGAAATCTTCCAAGGAATACTAAGTATAAATCAGAGTCAGGTCTGCAATGCAGGGGACCTCCTGAGTACCCAGCCTATTTCTAGTGCTTTTCTTTTGTGATCTTCAAAGCATGTTCCTTTCCTAGCCTTTGGGATGTCACAGATCTTCTCTGCCTCCATTTCACTTCTGTAAAGCAATTACTATCATGCCCTCTTTATGCTTGTTGGAGAGCAGATGACAGATTATTCAAATTATGTGCTCTAGATGCCACTTTGATTTATTCACATCTTTCAGTTACCTCAGTTGCCTCCATTTCAGACAACATAGTGTGTGTCCTGTGTCAAGGTTTTAGCTGCTCTTAATTCTCCAGGGATAAGATGTAGTGGCTTTAGGGCTTTCAAACATTATAAAAATGGGAACCATGGGAGCACCACAGACAGCCAAGGGGCTGAGGGGAAGCCGACTGACTGATGAAATTGCTGAAAGAGTAGAAATGTCTTTGTGATGTGCTTTGTGAGGACACAGCCTTGGGCAATGAAATATAATGTAGAAGTTGGCCTTGCTTTGGGGGGTTGTTTGCTCAAATGACCTGTAGGGGTTTCTTCCAACTTAGTCTATTGTACTTCTCTCAAACCAGGCCTGCTTCCTTTCCTGGCTCCAAATCTGTTGTTTTTCTGCCTCTTCTGCTCCAGGTGCAGCAAAGAGACCCATGCAATGTTCTGAGGAATTCAAGGAACTGCTGGCACAGCCAACTTTTGGAGCACGAAACCTCTGCAAACACTGGACCAAAGCAGGTATTGTCCTTTTGCCTGAAGGAAAACCCACTCCTGAAAACACTCAACTTCCTTCTGGGGAAACATTAGTGGCTTTTTATTTTGTTTTGGTTTGTTTCTTTGGGTTTTTTTTCCAGATGCTGAAAAGAAGCAAGGGGCTAATTTCCAGTCCATCTCTGCTTCAGCACTGCTCAAGCAACAGAAACAGAAATTGCTAGAGGCCCGAAAAAAGCGATCTGAAGAGATTCAGAAGCGGTAATACATACTGACCATAGGAAGGGTTCTGTTATTGTTACCTTAAGTATAACTGTGGGAGGTGTTTTGCTGTTTTTATTAAAAATTAATTTAAATAGAAATAAGTGCTGCAGCACAGTGCCCAGCAACTGGAAGGCATGATAAGAAGAGGCTAATTAGAGTAAGAAACAGGTTGGGAGTCCTGGTTCTGTTCACTGCTAGCTTGCAAGGGTCTTCTGAACCTTAAGAACTGCCAAATGGTTTGTGCATATCTTGTTAACAAACCTAAAAAGAACCTAAGAATTGCCACCCCGGGTGAGACTGAGATTGCTGTAGCCAAGTAGCTTCAAAAGGCTCAACAGGAGCCAAAGCAGAACCTTGAGGAGAATAATAAGACTAGGCACAATCATTATGATATTTCCCCCAAATATTCCTCCAGCCTACAACCCTAGGTATTTTAGGGACTTTCTAACTAGAGGTGGTATCTGTCACAGTATCTCTGAACGTTGGATGGGTTTTTTTCCCATTAACCTGTCCAGACTCTTCACCATAAAGTACACCACCGTGTAAACTGAAGTGTTTATGTGACTCCTGTGACAAGGAGTCCCCCTGATTAATTACCTGTTCTGCAAAGAAGCCTATTTTTGTGCTTTCAGCTCCCACCTCCCAGCTTCATTTGATCCTTCTCTGTTTTTTGTTTTGGAAAAGCAATTAGTCATTCACTTCTGGTGACTTCAAGTCACTCTTGATTTCAACAACCCAGTGAGTTCCTTACCTTTCTTGTTTTACTCTCCTGAATGCCTGAACTGCTGCACGATTTTCTAGCAATAAAAGGCAAATTAGTGAAAAATAAGTTTGCATCCCCTCCACTCCTATCTACTACTTAAACCTTTCTGTTTCTCTACTTGTGTCCCTATTTCAATGGATTATTCTTGTCTTACAAGGTTTCTCCAGAACACAAGTAAAGCCAGTAGCCCTGCTGTGCCGTCCTCCTCTAGTCAGTCTTCTCTCCACTCCCCAAAACCTGGGGCAGAGTTTCCTGCAAAAATGTCAGCTCCTCAAAGGCCCAGGCTAGGCGCAGGCTTCTCGGAAGGAGAAGATATTCTCTTGTTTGATGGGTCTCCACCTCCAACACCAAAGCTTGACAGCTTGGCAGAAGCCAAAAAGGTAACAGCTCTTTGAATCTTGTAAGTATTAAGAAGGGGAGGTTAAGGGAACTTTGGTTTGGAGTAGCAGAGGAGTCTTCAATCAGATATAGGGCAGCTCAGTTCTGATGTTAGTGAAGTTTCTGATTTGTGAGATCAGACTGGTCTATATTACACTACACAATAAACCTGTGGTTCCTGACAGCTGTTAGTACCAAGGTCTGTGCTACCATCCTGCCCACAGTCAACCTCCAGAGCCATAGAACAGCTGCTAAAGAGGGGCCTCGACAGCACTGGCATCTCCTGCTTGTTCAAAATCCACCTGAATTGGTCAAAGTGGGTTGTTAGGATCTGTCTTGTGTATGTTGTTCTTGAGCTCGCTCTTGGTCTTCTCTGGAGGCAAACCTCACGGAAGCCACTGACAACTGGCAATTTCAGCAGATGCCAATTGGGAGTGGACAGGGAACAGAGCCACCTCTTGGGATGGGACTGGGGAAAAGGCAATGGGGAGGTAGGGCATCTCATTTGAATCACAAGCCTGATGCTAACTAAGCTTTTTGCAGAAAAAAACACTTCTTTATGAACACTGGCAACTTCTCTGAGTAGAGTTGACTCTGTTCTTCATGACCTGACTTAGTCTGTTACCTGTTGGGCAAATTACCTTTGGAGAGCAGTTTGGAGTAGCTGTGTGGCTGTCCCTGCACACTTCTTCGTGCAGGTGGGACAGAACTTCTCTGTGTACCAGTGGCTGCTCTTTCTGCTCTTGTGTTTTGGGGCTTTGGGACATCTTAAAGCATCAGGTTGTGGATAGGTACTGGACCAGGACATGAGGTGATTTTTAAAGAAGAGAGTAAGGCCTTTTGATACTGATTGTTTTACAAGCATGAAAACCCTGAAGTGCTGGGAAGGGGCAGGGGATTTCTGCTGAAAATCTCTGGAGTGCTGAACTGCGTATTTGTTCTTTGGCATTGCTAGTGCTGTGTACTGTGGGATCTGTTTGCCAGGAAAGCAGCAGTAAACTCAAGTAGTTTAGCTATGTTGTGCCATGAGTTTGGATAATTCTGGTTTCTAGCCAGAACAGACTGCATCTTTCCTTGGCACAAGTCTATTCACATGTTTGTCAAAGAAACCTTTTTCTTCCAGCAAGTAAGCATTCTGGGAGTATGGAAAGAAAAAGTTGTATGCTGTTTTCTATTAATTCCCTATTATTACCAATTTTTGTGGAAATCTCAAGTGATTCAATTCCTCTGGAGAGCTTACTGATCTGTGAAGCAAATAAAGCACAGCTGCAGACATATCAAGTCTGGTAACACCCCTGGAGGAGTGATTTTATGGTTTGGGAAGTCACAAGAGCTTGGGTGATGTGGTAAATTAAATGTACAGCAGAGCTGGGAACTTTGTTGGGCCTCTCTTTGGCCAGGTGCATACTCATGGCAGTGGATCTTGTCTCCTCTGTTTGACAGACTTCCTCTGCTACTTCTGAAAGTAGGAACATGGGAGCCAGACTGGTCACCAACACATTCACTGCTCTTCCCTGTTTTCTAGCTGGCTGCAATACACCGACTACGAGCAAAAGGCCAGATTCTTGCTAAAACTGACCCAAACAGTGTCAAGAGGAAAAGAGCTGATGATAACATCCTGGAAATTGTTGAAAGAGTAGAGAAAAATGTTGCTCAGCCACACGGTACAGAAGCAGAGAATGGTATGTAATGTTAGCTTCTAGAATAAAAAAAATATGCTTATGTCCTGCTGAACGGTGGGTTAAGGACTTAACTGCTATGCCAAAGAGAGGCCAAGTTATGCTTATTTAGAACTTAAGGGGTTTGGTGCAAAGGGGTAAACAATCTCTAACCCTGTAGAGAGAGTGCAAGATGTATTCTCTGATAGCTCCCTATCCTCATCTGTTCCCTTTCTTCTGGCACTTGAACATCTGCAATGCATGGCTGACTTAACCCAGGGAAACCAAGAAATAGTCCCCTCTGGGAAAGTACCTGAATTTTCTGTTGGAACTTGAGTTTGCCCACTAGTGGTTTACTGTGTGTTCTTGGATAAATTGCTTAATTCCCTTTAAAGCTTCTCCATCAGCCAGAGAGGCAACACTGCTTGCTCCCCTGAGAGTAATGTGAAAATTCCTAGTACAGTGCTTTGAGAGAAGATGCAATGTTACTTTAAAAAAAAAAAACAAAACACTTTATTTTTCTGAAGCTGTATTTAAACTTTGCTTTGTGTTCTCCTGAACTATGAAAGGCTGATGTTTGACCTGAACATCTGCCTGAGAGACCTCAGGCTTCCAGAATCTCCTGCAGTGATCATGCTTAGAGATGACAACCTTGTTCTGAACTTGGTCACTGTAGGACTGAGCCTTTTTGTCTCCCTAGCTATAGATGAACTGGAACCTGCCCAAAAGAAACGGCGTGAGCAGCTGGCCTATCTGGAGTCAGAAGAGTTCCAGAAAATCCTGAAAGCCAAGTCCAAGCACACAGATGTCCTGAAAGAGGTATGGTCTAAGTCCAGCCATGACTGAGGGCTCAAAACTAGGGAGCTGTCTTGAATTTTCACAATGATTTCAGTAAGAATCAGGCACCCGATATGTCACCAAATTGTCCTGATGAGTAGGGTCAGGGGTGTCTGAGCACACAGGGCGCAATGTCTGCCAGTCAGCATTGTTGCCATAGACGTGGTAAGGTCAAGTTGCCATCAGGTTTTTTGCTGTGTTTAGAAGAATCGGTGAAGTTTCCTGGTTAGTGGATGACCAAAGAAATCCTTCTGCCTTAAAACCAAATTATCCACATGCCTGTTTTGTCCCTCATTTCTTGACATCTTGGCCACATAAAGATAGTTGCCACCCTCATCTGAGACTCATGTAAGTAGTGGAGCCTGTGAAATGCCAGCAGTTGCCCTGAAGAGCAAAGGGGTTGGGTTTCTCCCATCGGGATCTTTGCTGAGCATGTTCCCAGGGATACAGCACCTCCAGTAGCACACGGCTCTTGGTTTGAACATGTATTGGTATTAAGTCCTAGTTGTATAAAGGTCTTCTGAGAAATAATATTTTGGCTAAGAAACAATTCCATTCATTATATCTGCCTACCTGACCTCCCCCTGCAATGTCCTCATAGGCATGTGCTTATTTCAGTAGTACATGATGTTGTGAAACCCACCTACTCATACACCTTGGGGGTGGCTTGTTTCAGTGTTGATGACACACAGCACATGCACTGTATGAATTTTTGAAGCAAGAGAGATTTGCTGGTTTTCTGGCTCCCAGACTGCGGTCTGCTTCAAGCAGGCCTGGTAGTAATTTGCTCTTAAGGCCATTTATGGAGTGGCTTCTCCACCTTTGTCTCCCCACAACCCTTTTCGTGTGCCCCCACAGGCTGAGGCTGAACTGCAGGAGCAATACTTTCACCCACTGGTGAAAAAGGAAGAAATAGAAGAGAAGATGAGGAGCATTAAAGAAGTGAAATGTCGAGTTGTGACATGTAAAATGGTGAGTGAAGGGGAGCCAGGGTAACAGCAGTGGAGTGGAACATGGATTGTACAAAATGATGCTGGACCATCCTGCAGAGTCCCATCTGTCACTCTCTTGGCCATAGTCAAATGCAAGGATTAAATGGAGAAAGCTTTGTTCCTTATGCCTTGCTGAGAGCAGCCCATGCACTTAGAGACTGAGACTGGCCAGGCAGCCTTTAGGGCTGTGCTGAACATCTCAACTTGATGGTTGTGCCAATGGGTTCCTTGGGTATTGATGTCCTGAAAATATTTACAAGCTTCTTCCCTGAAGTGCTTTGTACCAGGACCCTTTGTTCCCCATTATTCTATGACAACATAAACCAAGTGCCTTGAAAACATAACACTGGTGGGGGTGGGATCCTCTACCTGGTTTCAGGGACTTTGCCATCAGGAAGAGGAGAGAAGCTTTTCTACAATCCCAAATGTGCTGAGAGGAAGTGTGGAGTTACAGAGTTCCCGGAGTTTTCAGCCCTTGGTGGACCCTCCCTCTCACTGCCTTTCCTAACTGTTTGGGGGCTGCACAGAGGGTCCCTGTGTGCCTCACGAGGTGCTGGGAGCAGGTGGCAAAGAGGGGAGGATGGCATTAGAAGGAGCAATGACAAAAGGTGATGATCTCAGGCTGGTGGGCTCCTCAGGATGGGGGAGGACAGAGATGATTGCCTCTGAATGTTCAGATGTTGCCAGCCCACAGAACAGGTCTCATGTGCTGAGGAAGCACTCACAGCTCTCTTCTTCTCCCTGACAGTGTAATTACACCTATTTCAAGCCTCTGGAGACATGTGTGCAGGATAACCACGACTACCACTGGCATGATGCCATCAAGCGATTTTTCAAATGCCCTTGTGGAAACCGAGCTATTTCCCTTCACAGGCTCCCAAAAAAGCCCTGCAGGTAAGAAATGAGATTCATAAAATAGTGACTGAGGCTTTTCTGCTGTCCATTCACAAGTAATGGTGTTAGGAGTCACATAACCATGTCATAAAATGGGAACATTAGCCATTGAGCGTTAGCCCAGTGTGGGAAAGGGGCAGGGCTAGTTTTGAACCCCCTCATACTGTGCAGCACACACAGACCACAGTGGTCCTCACCTGCCATCTTCTTCTTTCAGCGCCTGTGGCCTCTTCAAGTGGGAGCGAGATGGGATGCTAAAGGTAAGTGTGAACCAGCAGTTTCTGAGCACTTCTGGCTGTTTCTCTTGGTACTTTTTTCCCATGGTTTTTTTCAGTGCCCTTACGAGTTCCCAGCAAAACCAGGCAGCTCTGCATTTTGTCAGTACATGCAGGTACCTGCAAGCTTTGTTTAGTGGACTTTCCTTGCTTTCTGTTCTTGAAGCTTTGTTTTAGTTAACCATGGGCAATTTGCTTTTGACCAAAGTTGAAAGAATTCAGAACGTCAAGGTTCCTAGGGTGTCTTTCAATATTTAATCAGATAATTTAGGCCTGCTTAGAAGTTAGGACAACTTCTGTCAAAGAAATGTCTGGGAAGTGTTTTACCATGTGCTTAACTACTCTTCATGGTTCATGTTTCTAGGAGAAAAAAGGTCCGAAGATTGGTGGAGAAACACTTTTACCAAGAGGGGAGGAACAACCAAAATTTCTCAATTCTCTTAAGTGACCTGGAGTTGACTCTCTTTCACAAAATAAGGATGGATTTCTGTGTCAAAAACATACATTTCTTTACTGGAATGCCAGAAAGATTCTGGTTTTAGGGATGAATAAGCAGGGGAGTCATTCCTGATGAAAAGGACATCCACTCAGTCTCCACCAGGTCACTGCATGGATATTCAGCTTTGATTTTTTTAAAAATTGACTTAAGGCTGCATATGAATTACACATTCATGCCTGTTCTTTCTCACTGAGAACTTGTTTACAAGATTGAACCTAGAAAATAGACATCTAGAGAGAGATTCATACCAAGAAATCTGTAGGGATCCCGCAATTTATGTTGAATGGCTGGTGTAGAGTGACCTCACCAGAACTTTAGGTGACAAATCATCATGAACTGTGAGGACTGTAGATTCCCTAAGTACTTGTGAAATTAATACTGCGGTGCATAAATACCAGCCTGCCAAGGTTTTTCAGCTGTTGGCCAAAAAGAAGTGCAAGAGGGTTGTAGACAGAGTGGTCTTCACTGACTCAAATTACTCTTTGAACCTTAAGAGCAGATGTCAAACTGTTTGAATTGTCTCCTTGGCTTATGTGTTCGAAACCCCTCCAGTGGCCTTGGCACAGCAATCCAGCTCTCTTGAACGCTCTTTCCCTACCACACAGCCTGCCACCTTCCCATCTACACTGCAACACCCCAACAGCTACAAACCCCCAGCTCCCACTTTGAGAAGGATTTTAATGAATCTAGGACAAATTTATGAGTGGTTTTAAGGAGCTGAGTGATTATATTTAATGGTTTTTTACCCTTTTTTATGGCACTTTAAATTTTCCTGAAATCACAGTGTCACCTCTGGCTGCTGGCAGAGCTGCCTGGGAGACAGCAGCTGTCCCAGACCAAGCAGGACGAGGTCTCCAAGGGCTGGCTCCTGAGAAGGGCTGTCTTCATACAGGCATTTTTCTGAAAGCACATCTCTAGGAATACCTGTGGCCTTTGGCCAGCTTTTCTGGGACCTGATCCTCATACCCTGTAGGATCACAGGGTATTTTTAAGTGCCTAAAACTACTCATACCTCAGTGATTTGGTGAAACTGCCACCAACTGTCTTGCATGTCCCAGGGGCCTTGTCAATACCTCTTGTTTGCTTGCACTGAGGCTGGAAGAGAAATAAGTAACCTAATATGAAGCAACTGGACAGATTTACCTCACTATTCTGCACCACTTATCTCCTACAGGTGCTTTTGCTGGGCAGCTGTGCTTGGCATATTGTATGCATTTCAGCCTCATGTTGGTACCCTTTCATGGGTGAGTGTCACTGGTAGGTGACTAAATAGGTAACTGTGATATTGCTTGGCCCTGTCTCCTTCTGGTTCCTTATTCAGAATAAATACAGTGCACAATACAACACTCCCTGGGTTTGTATGGTGTCATTTCTCTGAGGAAAAGTTGCTTCTTCAACATCTTCATTTTAAGACCAAGTTGGATGTGGCTTTGAGCAACCTGATCTAGTGGAAGGTGTCCCTGCCCATGCTAGGGGTTGGAACTGTATGATCTTTAAGGTCCCTTCCAGCCTAAACCATCCTGTGATTTGCCTGAGGGCTCAGTGCTAAAGCAGCAAAAGGAATTAGTTTGTGATCCAGAAGTTGGGCTGCCACACAGTTTTCTCAGTCAGACCAACACAAGTTTCTCACCTGGAGTCCACAAAACCAGCATGACGTGCCACATCGGTATCAGCCTTCAGCTGGCATGTTGAAAGCTTTGGGCTTTTTCAGTTGGTGTCTCTTTGATCAGCGGAAAGGAGATTTTTGCAGAAATTACAGGTGTTAAAGGTGGGATAATACTTTATAAATGCCCCCAGGACTGTGACACGTAGGAAAAATGTGTGCCTCCTTGGGAGCCACGGAATGAAAACAGTACTCGATTCATTCTTGTATGCAACAATAGGATGAAGAAACTAAGGTGTGTTGCTTTGTTTAAACCCCAGCAATAAACGACGAGTGGGGAAATTGATATATTGGATTTTATGTGCCTTAATCTATTTTTGGAGATACTTTTCTTGTGCCAGAGCCAGTTCCAGCCCAGCAGAAGAAGGCAGAAGGGGAGCTACCCGCTGGGGCAAGCTGCCACGTGAGCATGCAGCCCCAGCTCCATGCCAGAACAGCCTGCAGGGTCTCTGCTCCACACTGAGCTGATGCATTTCCACCAAAACTTGGGAGCAAGAGCAGAGGCAGAGACCCACAAAGGCAGCTCAGGTAAGACCTGACAAACCCAGCTGGATCTACACTGTCCCACAAGCTGTCCCCATTTTGGGAGCATGATACAAAGACCTTGCAATGAAGAAGCCGAACTGCATGCCAGGCACTGTTTTAGCAAGAGAGCAGCCAGCAGGTTGACGGATGTGAGTCTGTCCTAACACTGCCAGTAGCTGTAAGGCCTTAAATTGCACCAGCATTACAGAAGCCTCTGCTGCTGCTGTTGGCATCGCCAGTGCATCAAGACAGTGTTACTGAAGCTGCCATGTCCCCTAAATCATTAAGCAAAACTGCTCTGGAAATATAATATCAAAAGTGTATTCTCAGAGCCATTATTAAGATTTGCAGAGTAGTAAACTGATAAATCAGCCCCTTCCCCAGGCAGAAAATGTTCTGCTGCCTACAACATTTTCTCCAGCTACAGCATTCCCTGTGTGTATATGAAAATGAACAGGAAGATCTTCAGCTTCTCTCATAATGACCTGGGAAATCAGGCTTGGTTTTTAGATACATTAAGCATCCTGCCTCTCCTCAGCCCTCAGCTACTGCTGAAATGTTAATTTAGAGCACCTTGCCCTGCTGCCACAAATTATCTTTCCTTGGATTTTACAAACACTTTGAGAAAAAATTAAACCTTTAGCATTTTCTCCCTCTGCATTAACCACTTAAGCTTTATTAAGTCTCAAAATCAGTGTAATGAAAATTTAATACCCTTTCACAATAACTACTAAAGGACCTTCCCTTTTGCCCAGCAGTTTTCCATGGCAGAGCCCCTGCAGTGGTCTCTTGGGCCCCTGGCAAGCTGGGCTCACCCAGCCCTTTCATATAATTTTTCCCAACCCAGTTGCTGCCTGTCTTTTCCTTCCCAAAATTAAGTATACGTGGGATAAGAGTGCAGGCAAAACTTTTCTCCTTTTATTCTCATTTCCCATGCAGAGCTGTGTTGCAGATCCCATTTCATTTTGCCCTAAAAACAGCCCTGTGATGCCCATGTGGCAGAGCCTCGAGATGCAACTGGGGTCCTTCACTGCTGGCCAAAAAACCAGCCTGGGCAATCAGTGCTCTTTCTTATTTATATGACTGTCATATAAATAGAAATATCCTGTGCTCTTTTCTATTTATATAACCAACAGTGACTCAAAAATGGCAGAATAACTTTTGTCCATGGTCCATTAGACAAAACCTCAAAACCTGACTTTTAGATTGGCAGGCAAATGCAGAGGGAAGGGAAATACCTAGTGTCTCTGGGGACCTGGCTTCTCCAGGACAATTATTCTTGCTATTAAGTTTGCACCTTGCTGTTAGATTTCTTCCAGACTTCCCTGCCTGCCCTTGTGTTCACTTATGGCTTTTGCTGGCTGCCTGACAGCTCTCAGCACAGACAGCCAGACTTGCTGCTGTATCAACACCATGCGGCTTCCGCTCCAGCACAGCTGCTTATTTTGTATTTTTCTGTTTGGTCTTCATAGACAGAGCAAGAAAGGAGCAGCTCTCATTCTGGGGTACCCACACCACTCACACGGACAAGGAGCAGGGAGATGAAGAGATACTGGCAGGCGGTTTGCCCAAAGCTGTCTCCAAAATGGCTTTGGCATTGCCATAGCTATGAGCAATGGCAGTAATAGAGTCATGAAAAGTCTGCTAAGATTTAAAAGTAGAAAAAACAGCTTTAGCTCACAAGATTGACTTAACGTCAGCAAAAAAGACTTAACTGCACTGAAATATGGTGTCAAGGAAGCACCTACCCGTTCCCAGGACTCATTAACATGTCCTGATGAATTTTGGAGAAAATAATGGTGGTGGTGGTAAAGCCAAACTCCCCCTGGGCTGGAAGCCTTCAGGACAGAGTGTCTAGCCCCACACATCAAAAATATGCCCCAGCATCCCAGAGAATCAGGCTGAGCTGCAGCAGGATTTCCTGGAATGAAGAGGAGCCATCCGTGAACTGCTCCCCAGCCCTGCAAACTGCACTGGGAGGGCTCAGCACCAGGAGCACCTGGATTGCTCTCAGCTGCCCTGTGCCCAGTCCTCCAAACATCCTGTGAGACAAGCAGGACACAGGCAGCTTTTACTTGGTTTTTGGGTGACTCTCAGCTGCAGCACTCTGATGTTTTTCTCAGACCAAACACCTACCTTTCCTGGGTTCACTTCTTTGGTTATTCAGCCACGCACCCAGTGGCAGAATTTCTGAACCACAGAAATAATACAACGCAGCCACCAAATGTGGTTTTGCTCTAATTTAATCTTTAGTTCAAAAATAAAAATAAAATCCACATCTACACCAACGGCTTCCCATGTAAGCTCATACTGTAACTTGCATGAAACTGATTCACTGTGTTTATTTTACATGGAAAAAGGATGTTAGAAACCTTAAAAACATAATTATGCATAGAATCTTATATTAATATTAATTTAATCTATTATAATTCTATTAATATTATTAACAAGCTTACATTAATAGAGCATCAGCTCAAAAGTATATTAAGAGAGACTAGAAAAATATAATCAAGAAGTAAAGCACATCTCCCATCATCTCTTTACTTTGATTATCCAAAATAACTGCAGCAAATCTGTTTTTGTAGGTCAGATTTTCTTTGAAGTACATCAGCTGTTCAGCTTCAATGCAACTATTTTGTATTGGCATAAAATGATTTTGTAACACAGTATTTGGATTTCTTACATAGAGGGCAAAAAGCTCATAAATCTGACTACTCACAAGCTGATGCTCAGGCACACATTTTCCATCCTGGGCCACTTTAAAGATTAATTCTTTTTCCTTGCATGACCTTTGCTCACTTCTTCCAAACACACTGCATTTAAAAAAGCAAAACCAAAACCCACAGAACTTAAAAGCCACCACATTTGGATTTGGTGTCTCCTGCTTATTCCTGGCATAAGCTTATCTGTTTGGCCATGTATTCAACAAAAATAACCATTAACTTACTAATTGTCTCTTCAAAGTCTCAAATAGAAAAGTACAGACAACACTAAATGAAATAAAACACTATCAATCCCAACAGTCACCCACACTTGAAATAAGCCAAAAGGCTCATTGGATTGTTGTGTGAAGAGAAGACACCACAGACAGGTACTGTATAAACTGTGCCCTCCTATTCCTGCAAATTCAGTTATGGTCACCTAAACAGCTGCTGGCATACGTTTGCCCTAGCTGGGCTG